TCATTTTGCACACATGCCGTAAATACTTTGGCATACGACGGCAGCAAAAGTATACCGGTATTTTTTTGCCGAATCTAATGAACATTCTGGAAAACTGACCTTTTCGAGGGAGCAAACGACGAATGGTTGTAATTGTGCCTACACAAACTGTATTATTTACGCATATGGTCTAGCATTGGACAAGCACAATTTTCGTAGTACTTTTGTTTACGTTGAAACTATTCATTTGTATTTAATATAGATGGAAGCGGAAATATTTGACTTGGGCTGTTATTGGAGCATCATTTTTAGACAACAAAAAAACGCCAAAACACAAGCATGTTTTTTTCAACTGGCCTATCGCCAACACAACAACGATTAATAAGAATCTCTTTGTGTATCGTATTGCTATTTTTAATTACAAACGATCCGATTTTCTTTATCTCTTTTTTTCTGGGTCAGCCCACATATATTCCAAATGATAGACCGAATATTGCGTGATACAACAAATTCAATCCTAGCTCACATTCACATATATTTGTACGCTTTTTTTTCATTTCTTCTTTTTCAAACAGAGAAGGAAAAAACCAACTATTCCAGTATTTATTTAGCAAAACAAATTCGCTGTGTACTTTTTTCTGGCGTCAAAACCAAACCAATTTCCCATTCAGTGTTCACATTTTTCAATATTGCGAATGACAAATAGCTAGCCTTTTAAACAGACATTTTGTTCCATTTCAGCATCGTTATTGTATTTTCAAAAGGCACTGGAGCTTGACTGTCACTACACATGCAACCAGACCCATCTTTCATGGTGAATTTATGAATAAATTTGTCTGGCTTTTGCTGTTGAGGCTGCTACTGCTGCTACTGCTGTTGCTGAACGGTTTTGTTCACCGCTCGCACTTTATGTAAACCAAAAGAAAAATAAGACACGAATTTACACACACCCACAGTAATGCGAGACGAACACACAAACATTGAAAGAGGACAAAGGGAGAGAGGGACAAGGATGAAAAAAAAAACATTGTTTGCGGCGAATATAAAGATAAAGACCCATCATTATATGGTGCGCATGATATTCGATCAGCATTTTGTATTTTGTGTACGAAGCGTGCAAACGCCGAGCAACGTGAACAGAAACCGAATCTGTATCGTGGATGGAGAAAACGAAATTGAAACAGAGGAAGGAAGATTCACACAGAGCAGAAGCAAGCAAGCAAGTCGATGGTTTGCCATAACTTCTGAACTTATCAAATATTCATATATAAATATGAAATATGTAACAATTTAGTTGATTCTCTAGTCCATTTCATCGGTGTGGCCAAGCGATGATAGATATCATGTTTCATGTGCACGATGCACAATGCGCATCAACCCACCGACAATCCGTTGGCCATCCAGAAGTTAAGATGATGATTCGACCTCAATTAAATTTGTGTAATGCTATGCCATCTCAAATGTGAAACGGAGTGCGAGAAAGTGAGTGAATGTGAAAGAAAGAGATGGGATGCACGTACAAACAAAGTTAACGGTCTGGAGTTTTACGTTTGTTCAACGGATAAATGCACGATTTACGTTTTATTGGCATACGATTGCGGTTTTTGGGTGGGTGGCAATGTTTGTGATAATGTTCCACGTTGATAATTTCAGGTGCCGAATTCCAACTCGTGTTAGTCATTAAACGATTAATGGAAAAAAAGGGAAAAAAATACGAAACGAGCCTGCTGCTATTGGATTTTATGTTCGCACTGAACCCGAAAGTATTCTCAAAATGGAACATTTATAGCAAGTCTTGTGCACATCATAGATATCCACTTTGACATGATAAAGTGTGGCTATTTGTGCGGTGTATGTCTCCATCTCTCTTTCGCTCTCTCGATCTCGCTCACTCTCGGTCGGCACCGATTGTCGAGAAAATTTGGAAAATTTTCAAACAACAATTCGTCTATAGTTTAAGGTCGGTCTGGCCATCCAGTCTAATTTATTAGATGATAGTAGAGGATATCGGCATTTTAAAAGCGCACCTGAAAAACCGACGAGCACAAAATGTGTTGCACATTAGCAGCCAAACAGTTCAAAGCGCTCAAGCAGCAGGCGCTTTGAATTCAATTAAAGTTTTGAGCCTTTTGTTTTTGCTCACAAATGGTCAACGGGCTTTCTATCTCTCTCTCTCTCTTTCTCGTTTCATTCGTTCGTTGGTTCGTTGGATTGCTTTGTCATTGTGCCAAGAACACCAAGAAAGAAGATGCATTCGATGAGAATGAATTTTCAATGCTTTGTCCCAACGTTGGCATAGGTCATGGGGTCAAATGTTAAATAAATTAAAAGTCAACCGGATGCTGAAAACTGATTCTCTATTGGGTCTGGGAATTAGTTTTGTCGATTTTTTTAAATTTTCAAACATTTATTTGAATACCAAAATGAAATTACATTTCAATCAAAATATTGTCCATCGGAAGCGATGACCTTCTGCCACAATGTGGGCAATTGACGGATGCCTGCCTTAAAAAATTCCTCATCTTTTGAGGCTATAAATGCATCGAGCCAATTTTGGATTTCTTCAACTGAAGAGAACCGCTCTCCGTCCATATGGTTTTGCATCGATCGAAACAAATGGTAGTCGGAAGGAGCCAGGTCTGGGCTATACGGGGCGTGAGCCAAAACTTCCCATCCGCTATTTTCCAAGTAGTTTTTGACCGATTTCTCAATGTGTGGCCGAGCATTGTCATGTAGGAAAATCAATGTCTCTTTTCTGGTCTCCCATTTCGTGCGTTTTTCTTTGATTGCTTGTTTCAAACGTATCAATTGTTGTCGGTAGAAAGGCCCATCGATGGTTTGACCACTTCTCAGCAGCTCATAATACACCACTCCCTCCTCATCCCACCAAATAGACAGCATTACCTTGTCGCCGTGAATTTCTTGTTTTGGCTGTGATGTTGCTGGTTGGCCGGGCTTAACATACGATGCTTTGCGCTTGGGGTTATCGTAATGAATCCATTTTTCGTCACCAGTGACAATTCGATACAGAAAACCTCTTTTTTTGTGCCTTGCGAGCAGCATTTCGCAAGTCACTAAACGCCTTTCAGCTTGCGCTGGCGTCAATTCATGTGGTACCCAATTTGACAACTTGCGAATGAAACCAAGGGCCCTTAAACGATATCCAACAGTGCTTCGGCCAACATTCAATGCTCTGGCAAGCTCATCTTGAGTTTGACTCGAATCTTCATCGAGCAATGCCTCCAATTCCGCATCTTCAAACTTTTTTGGCTGGCCGGGACGTTCCTTGTCTTCCGTGCTAAAATCACCACTTTTGAACCGTGAAAACCACCGTTCACATGTACGTTCCGATGGAGCATGCTCACCATAGGCTTCCACCAACATTCGATGCGCTTCAGCCGCAGTTTTCTTCAAATGAAAGCAAAAAATTAATGCTTGCGGGAAATGTTGCTTTTTCGGTACAAAATTTGACATATTTAAGGCGCAAAAAAAATGTTTATCCAAACTTCGATGAAATGATAGATGATGATTTTTGTAGTTTGACACTAGACCACTCATGTGAAAAAGAAAAAAGTATTGCCCGATACAACCATGCAAAGTTACGCCATCTTTTGAAAAATCGACACGATTAATTCCCAGACCCAATATAAATGAAAGCGTGAACGGCAAAGAGCGAGAGAGAAAGACACTGAGTGTACTTGTGCAATGATAAAGCTGTTGTGCCAGCCAAAAATGCCAGCCCATCGACAACGCATTGCACTGTTATTATTTGAAAATCTTCGGCATTTCATAAAATAGTCATATGGTAATGCTAACCAGTTTCCGAATTGAGTCAAATGTCCCATAGGCTTTCAAATAAATGCATATTTCAAACGCCTCACGTCAATAACCACACAGTGAAACGGATATAATGTTCCACGATGTCCGTTAAACCCGTTTGTTCATGCATCGCTATCGACGATTGAGCCAAAAACGAATTCTATGATTCCATTGAAATTCTTCAGCGTCTTGCGTTCGTCATTGATTTGTATGTACTAATTGCAGCCAGAAAATGCTATGATATTAGAATGAATGTGTTGAACTGCAGTTTCTCCGCTTCGTCGTGGCGATGCGCTGCGCATACTCCACGATCCAACGCCCCGACCTTACACAATTTCATTCAATACAACATTGGAAGCAGCTCCATATGCGGTTCGACGAGAGTGATTTTCTCCTTATTTTGTCCGCTTTTTTGGATGGAACATTTGTTGGTTGATCTGATTTTTCAGTTGGATGCTGCTAGGCGGTTTGTTCAGCTGTTTTCATGCCATAGTCGGTTAGAGTACAAAATTGAAATTCGCTTGATAGCATCGTATAAAGTGACAGGAATAAAATATTCAACAAACGTGTGACTTTCGGTGCGTATAACATATATTCGATTTCAAATGAATGACACAATGTCATCGGTTGTGGTGTGGTGATGATGATGGTGGTATGATGTGAATCTCTGTGAAAAGTGAATGACAATCCCGCTGTTTGTAACCAATTGTAACTCATTAAACGAGGTTTCAGTAATTGGAAAATTCCATATTTTATCATCGCGCTGGTGTAAACCACCAAAAGTGAACTGACGAAACCTGTGCCGCATTTTATGTGTGGTGTAGAAAGTTATGAGTAAAATATGAAAGCTCAACCTAAATTGAAATTGAAAGTGCATACTTTTTGACAGTTGATAACATATGTGCGGCACAAATTATCATAAAAGAAGATCAATTGCTGTCAAATAAAAACGTTAGATAACAAAAGGGCGAAAAAAGCGTCGAAGATAGAACGCCTCCACGAAACGTAAAAGTTGAAGAACCATCGCATATGAGTAAAGACCACCCGTGAAATTCAACTTAGTGTCAGTCAAGAAATACGACAACAACAACATAAAATCAAACCTCAAAAAGAAACGGCGTGTGTGTGTAGCAACAAAAACTGTGGTGAATCTTATCCATATGACATTCGTTGATATTGGATATTTTTATGCTGAAGCATAATAAATTTCGAAACTCATTTATTGTCGGTTGCATTTTGGGCGGATACACACACATACACATTCACAAAAAAGTGCTACAAAGTTGAAAACCCCATACACAAACGCAACCTCACCTAACCATCCGTCGTTCGGGCAAACAATGAAAATTGGAAAAATCAACAGAGGCAAGCATATTCTATCAAGAGAGTGAGAGAGAGAGAGAAATAAATATAAAATTCGGGAGCAAAAATCAGATTTATGCACATAGCCAACACACCGTTGAACATTTGGTCAGTGTGTGACAGAAAAAAAAGTGGAGCAAAAAAAAGATAATAAAAAAAGGAAGAATTTGCGAATCGCAATTTCAAACTGGATTATGTAATATTGTGTGTTGTGTGTGCACGGACATTCCAATTTTCGAAAGCCATTTAATTGTCGGAAATGTGCTTTGGTTCGCAGTGATAACTCTTCGCTCTGGCTGCTACTGCTGCTGCTTGCTGTGCATAAAAAAAGAGAAATATCAGGAAAAGGAGTATATGGCGAATCGCATGAAATCGAACTGAGTTGACCCAGTTGCAGCAGTTCAGGACGTCAATCTTGTTAGCGTAAGTTGTTTTTTTCTTCTTTTCATTCCATTTCTTTCTCTCTTCGTGTGTATCTCTTTTCTCATTCCGTTGAAGTCATACTAAAGATCTTGTGCACTTCTGTCCGTTGTCATTCCCAATTTTCTCATATATGCGATTGTCTCAAAGTTTATATTATATTAAGAAAATTAAAGCCGAACACTGAACTTTTGTGTTCCCGCATTTCTCTCATCTTTACCAACTGAATTTTCGTCAATTCCGTTTTAATTGTAGCAAATCTTTTTAAATGTGTCTGTGCATACGGATGCAAAGAGAAAATCTTTTCTTGGCACAAAACTTCCGTTCGCATTTATCATTCGTTCGTTTGGCACTTAATGTAGGTGTGTGTATGTTTACAATGTGCATATGTGTTGGTGCTTTGGTCGAACTTGTTCGTACTTTCACTTATAGCATGAACTTTTTTTCTTCTTCTTCCTTGTATTGATGTGTGTTTTTGGGAGGATGCATTGGTAACATCAACATAAATACAATTCGACACTTGTTTCGATGCTGTTACTAAGTAGTTTAGCACACGCATATAGCCGATCCGCGATAATAGAGACAAAACAATGTTATAAATTACCTTTTGTGTTCCCCCAACCACCTCCATCTCTCAGTCTCTCTCTTTTTTTCCACAAAACTTTATGCGGAATTGTTACAAAGTGTGTTGTGACGATGAAACTGTGATTACATGGAAAAGTTTTGCGACTGCTTCTTCGGTGTGAAAGTCGTGGTGCTTTTCTTTCGGTGCAAAAAGCCATTCGATCGAATCAAACGCAATAAGTCGTCTCGATGTGAAAACAAAGTGCGAAGGTTGCAAATATAGATGTTGTTCTTTGGATACAACAATTGCCACACGAAGCTTACGAGAATGGTTTGCAAAAATGTTTGTTTGGATGAAAAACATGAGGCAGCCGTCATATGTGTATGTGTATGTGTGTGAGAGGGCATGTGAACGTTGCATGATTTAGCAAAATAAGCGTAATCCTTAAATCAAGTCCCCCACGTAAATTAATTATGAAAATGGTGCCGACGCACTCTTTCATCTCTCTCGTATTCGGTTTACTCTCCCTCTACCGTTCTCTGGGTTTAAACTTTAAACGAACATTAAAGAATTTCATTTTAATATAAATCGAATCAGCATTTTCGGCATACCAAATTATGCGGCACTTGTACCCTCCATTGCTCGCATCGTGGATATATGTGCGAGTACAAGTGTACATACCACATTCTCTTGCCAAAATTTCAACCATTTTCATTTGATTTAATTAACTCGAATGTAACAAACGCAACCAAACGATGTGCTGTGTTGAGCCGAGAAAATGTGGCGACGACGACGTGGATTTCGGAACCCACAAAAAAAAACCCTGTGATAATAATGAACGTAGAAACAAACATGTGCACAAAGAATGTCACACACATTAATGGGCGCTGGAGCGTAATACCAAACTCACTCTCTCTCTCTATTATTCACACACATTGAACTGATTACATCCAAGTGGTCACGAATTTTTCACCGCACACCAACCATTTCAACAACGACGGATGACAACGACGAAAACGATGTGCTTCTTGAAGACATTGCAAAGTCGCTAGCATTTATTGTACCACTTCCAATTTAAAAAAACTCATCATTATACTCCCCCAAAAGATGTCATTTAGTTTTCCATTTGTCTGTCGCATTCAAACCTCCATGGAATGCATCGATTGCTACAATTTAATAGACACGCACTGCAGTTTTCGTGTTGAATAAGAGACATGAATGTGTCATTTCTACATCAAATTACTTGAGCCGTTTATTTGCGTTGCCAACACCTTCGCTCATCTCATGACACACACATACACACGCACTATAGTTTCTTTGTTGTTCACGAACGTGTGTTGAAAATGTTTCCTAAGTTTTATGTGTTGTTGCAAAATTTGGTATATATCACCGTCGCCGTCGCCGCCGTGCTCACTGATTTCTCCGTGGAGAAACGGAATGATGAAGAGTTTTCCATCTCATGCACTGATCCGTTTGGTTAACAAGATATCACATATGGTTGCGATGAAAAAGGTGGAAAAGATGTCGAACGGAACATTTTGCAACGTCTTATCTTTTGATGCGTAATTTAGTTTTGTGTGCTGTGTGTTGAAAATGTGATAAAAAGATTTGGTGAACGTGTGTTGATTGTAGTAGGTTGAAACTTTTCGAAAAGTTCATGCAACCAACTTTGTACACAATCCGAAATATCGGTTGAAACGACCAACATGAATTGAGGTTGAGATCATTGCCTAATTTCAGAAAGAATAAGATTCCACAACAACATCAACAAAAATCAAAACCAATGCGAAAGTAATCACCTTCGAACCGAAAGAGATCAAATAAATGGCCGTAGGAACTTCGGCCATGCCAATTCTTGGGAACAATTCACTCCGATTTGAAAATCGTATCACATTAATATTTTAAGCAAATCTACATAAAAAGGTGAATGGAGGGAAAAGAAATCCGGTTATACAATTCAAAAGGGTTGAACACGATTTTCAATGGCTTCTCCTTCGATTTTTTCCCTTGTTCTTTCGTTTGGCCTAAAGTCAATTTCGTTCACCATTGTGAGTAGAGCAATCATTAGGTTCATCTTTTTTCGTTCAATTTATGGCATTTACCTGTACCGCGAAGTATATTTTTAAAGCCTGATGTGATTACCTTTCTCGCAAGGCAAAGGCAAGCAATGGTTTGATATATCCTGTTTGGTAAATTGGACAAAAAAACGCAAAGTGGTTATCTGTGTGGAATCTGACATTTGATGGACACTCTTAGGTCGTTTCATGTTCTTGTAACTCAATATAAACATGCTTCTGTGTTCATTAGAGAAAATTCTATTAATTAAGCTGAAGATGCTTTCATTTATTTTTTTCTTGCCAAGAGAGAAAGAGGTCTTTGTGTGTATCTTAAATGACCTTCTTGAGTTCGCATGATTTGATGTGTGCAGAATATGTTATTTGGTGCTGACATTTACAAGCACAAGAAAATGGATTGTTCATTTGATAAAAGAGCCTCTCGATTCTCTTCGTCCGTGTCTTTCTTTCTACTCTCTCTCCATTTCTCTTGATTTTTCCGCCACTGGATGTAGCCGAGTGTGGATGTGGCCGGGTGGTTGAGTGATTTTGTACGAATGCGTACACAGTGAATCTGCATGTTTTCATTTCGAATTCCGCATTTAATTTATAAGTCGATGTTTGTCTCACAGTGTGTTTGTAATCCCCGTTGCGTGTCATTAGTCAAACAAATCAGCACTATCCCCTTCCCGTTCGTTTGTTTCGATTCGCATTATCTCTTCCGTAGAATCGTAAACTTTGAAGCAATTGAATCAACAACCAAGTAAATTGAATAAGTAAAACGCGGTTGTGAATATTTATGATAGATTTATTTATTTATGTGATTTGGATGTGAGTGCGTGCCAGACATGCTAAATGATTTGTCGCTGGATTCGGTCGATATTTACGGAATATGGTGCAGCTGAAGACGGCCGAAGCGATGAAAGATAAGCAAAACATACACACAGCTAGTGAGCTGTTTGCGAGATTTTTAGTTACATCATCAATAAATTGAAATCGTTCGCACCTCAACATAATGTTAGCTCTCATCGTAACCTTTTGAACGGTTTTCTGTGAATTATTGACTTGGCACATCTCGGCGAGATGTCTAATTTGTGCGCGCTCCCCTTCATTTACCATCCATTTGCTGGTATATAGGGTGCTCATGATGTCTGTACTATGCTGTAGTGTTTGAGGCGAAGAAGCGCGCTTAACACTGAAAGCGATGTGTGTGCATAAATAAAATTGAAGCAGCCAAAGCGTTTGCTTCATTTACTCAACACAGCGTAATAAAACCAAATTCAATTTAAAAGACTTATTCACTATGTGCCATGTCACACACTTTCTCCTCCGAACACAGAGTGTGAGTGCGAACGAAAGATAGTCAAGTGATTTTGTGTTAGTCTTTGACAATATTGTGATTTTCTTTCGCCCATTTTCATTTCTGCTTCGTGCAATAGTCTCGCACACAAATTAATAATTAATTGCCATCGCCGGAGATTGTACACGTATAAAAGACAAACAGTTAACATCGTTCGTATCACTAATGATGATGGTTTTTCTACTTGATTTCGAATCACTTACTATTTATTGCTGGGCTCTTTGAAATGTGAACATCAAAGCTATAATTGAATCGTTCGGATGTCACAATTTAGACAGCAATCAAATCATTATTTACAGACAATCGAATCCATTCCGTAAATCAATCAAATGCTCAAGTGCTTAAGCTGTTTCGTATTGAATATGCAGAAATTGTGATGCAATCATATCCACACAAGCCACAAATATACATTTCCGAACTAATCCAACAGGTTTTGTGCTTCGCTTGCAAAGTATTCGATGCCAAATCGATTCAGCGTGCACATCATTCTGTCTGAGAAGAGAGTCAGCATCAATAATAATTGACTAGGCAGGAAATTAGTTTGCCTTTTCCGGTTCAATATTGTATACACCAAATGACCGGTGGCACATTATATAAACAGCAATAAATTCATTATGTAATAAGACAATCAACTGCTGCTCGACAACACACTGAATAAACAATGTGACGAAAAGCGTGGTTTGGTCTAGCTGGATGACGACCAACAATAGGATTCATACAGTTGATATTTATTGATGTGACGATATCAAATTATAAAGATAGACACATCGTATCGATCCAATCGGCTCGTTGGTTTCACGTTGCCTTTTGCTTGGAAAAGCAATTAGAACGCTATTCTCCACTTTATATAGAGACATTTTGGTGCGTCGAAACTTGAGAATGGCTTGAAAATTATGGTGATAATTCAGTGTTGGGCCGGTTTTCGGAGAGGAGTATGGCTACATAATTTATTGGCTTAAATCATGGAGGAGTTTATTTGAGTGTCGTTGCGTTGCGAGGATTTATAGTTGGCACTTAACCCGCG